TGTTGTGAGACTAATATTCGCGCTTTTCTCACGGATAACTTGACAACCGCTAATTTAAAAACTCGCGAAAATATTGTTACTCGTACTATTCAATTATAAACTGCCTGAAATCGCAAAATTAGTAAATCATAAAAATGTTCACAATGGCCAAATCACAAAAACATTAACCCCACGAAAATATTCCCCTATATAGTATTAGCCTAACTGCCATAAAAAATTGGATTTCTGGTTGCAAATTTCTGTGCGATTTTCTAACTTTAAAAACAAAGTAAAACATAAGAATTTTTTGTGGGTTTTTATCAACAATTCAAAATCGAAATGAGTGACATTAGACTTTGATCTTCTTGATTGTGTCGTGTTTTATTACATGTGGAGATATGATTATGTTTCGTATTAGATTTAAGCAAATCTGCTTCAAAACCAGAATGCAGAAAAAATCATCAAAAATGTAATTTTGGCATTTTTGGAACAAGCATGTATGTGTTAATAACGTAAAAGTTTCAGGTCCAAGTGCAATCTCACATTATCAAAATCTGTGATTTTATGACGACGATTTTAACTTGTTCACGACATATTACGTAGTAGCCGAATTTGGAAACCATAGGTTCGGACGGAAACTAACAGACGATGAGGTCACGATTATTTACCTCTGATGAGTTATTTGATCAATCAAAACTTGACCTATTCTGCTTGGAAAGCCTTTGTTCGGCTGTAATTTGTTATCAAACTAAGTAGATAAATATATGAATTTATCAAATTAAGAAGCAAATAATATGTTTCAGAAATCACTGATAGGGCTTTTAATCATCACAAGCGCCGCTACACGCTATCGCCGATGCTGATTGGTCGGTGATGCTGGTTGGTCGGTCGATTCGGGGCGCCCCCTCCCGATTGCGTCGGTGACTACTACCAAAGATCTATCTTGTGTTTATAAGATCTTTGCTACTACGCTGTGGTAGCGACAATGTAGCGATTGTATGGAAACCATGCTTTACAGTAAAGAAAATTGTGAATAACCGACCGTGCGCGAGGATAAAAAAAGATAAGCAGACTACCTACCTAGGCCTAAATTTCATTATATATTTAGGCCAGTATGTATATAACGCCAACTGACCATGGCATATGGGGAGGGCGCTGCGTTTTTGTATATTTAAGCTAATTTGCATATGAACGGGACATGTCACCACAATGTGATTTCTGAAATGTTATCTCCTCATCATATGTGTTCATTTATAAAAGAAAAAGTCTTGTTTGCAATATGTTCAGATTGTCTAGTGGCCCCTATTTTGCATATTTAAGCTAATTTCCATATGAACGGGACTTGTGATTAAGGTGAGATTTCTGAAATATGATCCCCTCATCTTATGTGTTCTTTTATAACCCCTCCTACACTTTAAAGTAGCATTTCCAATGAAAAATGGGTGTGGTCATTTTTGGGCTGTTCGTCCCGGATAGAGATTTTGGCACACATCCCATGTTCTTTTTTGGGTTCATATTAGTCTATACCAGTTGAGATATTCTCTCCTAGATTAAGTGCATCAAATCTTAGCCAGGTCCTAGACACACTATAGGGAAAAGTTGGGGATGACGCTATCGATCATTTAATGTGGGAAAATAGATTCACTGATCAGTGTGGACACGGTATTCTGAATAAGTGTTAAAGTAGTGACGCTGATTGCTACTTTTTAATGGTGCATTGCGTTTGGATGACACGATATCGAAGTAACAATGTTCAAAATTAGTTTTTTCAAGTCAGGATTATAATTTTTAGTACAACCCGGAAGCTGATGGTGTATAATGACTGGTGTATCATTTGTAAATATGAACTTTTTTTATGAAGTCTTGGTCTTCTACACGAATTCATGTCATCCATTGATTCCTAAGGATATAATGAATTTTAACGACGCGGGTGACCATGTTATCGGGAATTTTCAAATTGTGTGAAATATTTCATCAGTCCATGACTGATGAAATAATTATTTCACACAATTTTATGACAAAACCAGCACAGATACATAGGCCAACTTTCAGGACTGGTCCTCTATGTAGTGTATAGGCCTATAAATACAGAGGATATTATAGAGAAACATTTCCAAACCACTATCGGTAAATCAAAAGACAGCCCACTTATTGTGTCACGCGCGTATGACAAGCTGTTTCTTCATATAGACCTACCTCTGAATTAGTGTTAAGTGCAATTGAATTAACATTAAATGCATTCATTAACTGCCATACGCTCGACATCGATCAAATGTGGTTCGCAAGACAAACCGCCACACAAACAAAAAACTGCAGCGATCGTTTACATCTACCAAACTTAATACATGATGATGCCAAAGCCATAGTGTATTTTTAATATTTAAACTGTCGGGCCGCATTGAATGAAACTATGGTATTATAGTTAACATTATATTTTGTTTGCACTACAATGTCGGAGCCTCTCGTCCATGGGCGCTCTTTCCCCACCCCCTGTCAGCGCCCGAGCGTGACGCCACTGTATGTATTAAAGATATACAGTTAGTGTGATGGTAGTACTTACGATTGTCGCATGGAGTAACAGGATTTTACTAGCACGCTGAGATTTTCCTCGGCGATTTCACACTCTCAACACAGTTGAATTAAATAAACTATCAATCAGACAACCCTTTAATGCTTGTCATGTCCCGTGATGTTATCAACAAAAGAATACGCTTTTTCCACGAATCAGTAGACCTTGAAGTGATGACAAACAACCCTAGTCAAGCCGGGTGCGTATAACTAACATATTATATAAGATAAGCTTTTGAGGCTAAATCCTTGTCCTCCTGTTACCTAAAAATCATAACTCCATATGGTAACTCGGAGGGTCGTATCACATTATTTTTTCTGGAAAATGTTCTCAAAAGACTATTCTACACCATTATATGATTGAGAAAAAAAAAGAAAAATGTTTTTGACCTCTGAAATCAAGATCGAAAAAAAGAAGAGCCTATCTAAATAGTGTATTAAAATAGGCCTATGCATCACAGTGCAATAGCATAGTACATTACTTTCGTATAGGCCTATTACTGTTCCAGTACCGATAATAGGCCTACACATATTTCTCTTATTATAAAGTACAAGATATGTTTTATAAAGAAGTATAGTATAGTAAATCATGTTTGTAACACAGGAAAATCTCATATGGGAACTAAATAGGCCATCAGCTGTACAGCTAAAAGTGCCTGGAAAGTGACATGTGTCCCGGCAAAATATGGACCAGCTGATTTTTGCAGTATACACTCTCCAACACATCAGGAGGCATGTGTAAAAAGTTCTCAAACGAACTGTCATCCAAAACCTGTCATCGGTGCATATTAATATACCCCATTTTGCTAAAAACGCACACTTCTTGCGTCTGGCCCCATGTTAGTTCACAACAGATAGAGAAATTTTGGTTGCATTATTAATTTCTTAAGACTTTAAACAATCAACTGAAAAACTTTAAAAAATGAAGTAAATTTGTCTTTTCTTCAATATTATACAAAGTTCCAAGGTCAATAAGATCATGCTAATCGTACTGTAATCATTGAGTGTTTGGATTTTAACAGTAAAGACAGTTCCCAACAGATATACACATTATCGTATCGTTATTTAATTATTAAGAGCGTCAAAAATAAAATTAAAACCTAAAAAAATAAAGAAAATGTCTTTTTTTAAATCTCGTACAAAGTTTTGAGGTCAATAAAACCGTGCCAAATATACTGTAATCATTGAGTGTTTAGATTCGTACAGCAAAGACAGTTCCTAACAGATATAGAGATTGTGGTATCATTATTTATTTATTTATTAAGACTTAAAAAAATAAACTTCAAAACTTAAAAAAATGAAGAAAACATATGTATTTTTTGAATCGTGTATATACGGTTCTGAGGTGTATGGTCATATTAAAATCATGCTGCAATAATTAGTGTTTAGATTCCTACAGCAAACACAGTTCCTTTTTACTCTTTTGTGGGGTCGTTCCACTTTTATTTCATCAAAATACCACCATTCATATATTAAAGCAATGATATAGGTAGTTACTTAATGTATCATTTCAGATTCATTAACATTTATTACATAATGGTCAAATTTAGTAGTTAAGTACTTAACTTACTTAAATTTATCTTTCAATTTTATTTTTAAATAAATTAAATGCATTTTATTTTAAGACCCATCTGAGCTATTTTCTGCAAAAGCTTGCATTATTTTTATCCTCAAACAAAACATCATACAAACATAACAGCGTTTGAATACGAAACAACAAATTATGAGACAAATAAATTCCTCCTTCACACAAAACATTCCTTTTACACACTTAAATTAACATGAAAATAAATGTTTTATATTTTTAAGCAAATGTAACAAAACAACAGTAAAATGAGACATTTTATTTCATTTCATTACTTTTGTCTTTTGAACGATTATATACAAAACACCACAAGTAAACTTTTTTTTTTCTTCTTAAACCAATTAAAAAAAATACACATTATCACTGCAAATACAGTGAGGAGGATCCAAACACTGCAAATATAGTGAGGAGGACCCAAACACAAAGCCCCCCGGAGACACGCTCTCAACTCAAAAAAGCGCCAAGGCACCTCACAACGTGCCTTAACTAACACGGCTATAAAACTACTTTCGCCAGAAACGATATCATATGAATTGCAAATACAATGACATTGATAATCATCCTTGTGGTGTGATAAAAAAGCAGCAAAATCAATTACAGTACTTTCTTTCTGTAAATCATCACAGAGATGAAGTCAGGGAGGAACAAGGTTCCTGTACAAGGTTTGTCAACCCCCGTTTTATTATCTAAAGCAACAAAAGCTACAAGAAAACTTTGGCTTTGAAGAAATGTTGTCAATAAAAAGATCGATGAGAAAGCGATGCTTCTAAAACTACAGCAAATAATAACATAACACTCATCATACATAATAAAATAATTATATAAAACAACTAAGACAAACCTAATTGAAAACTCACTCCTTCCAGGTGTAATCAATGCAGTACAGAACCGTTAGCATCATATTTTTGAAGTAACTAATAGGCCTACATTGGCCTAAGTATGTTAAGAAATATAATAGGAATTCCGTCGTTATACCATAATGTCCAATCATATCATCATTATTGGTAGTTATTTTGCGCAAACCATATTGATTGTTACTGTACTATCTATTTGTAAAAAATTGTAATCCCATGAACGGCGTCATGATAAAAAATGAGCGCGATTTTCTTATTTATGTATAATAAAAGTTTGAAGATTCTGCCGGTATCCCCTTCCAGTCATTTTGATCAAATTCACATTTACATACGTAATGGCCTACTCATTAACACGACAGTTATAAACTCGTTTAGGCTTTATATTTTGGTTTGGGGCGAGGGTCCGGAGATGCTCTACAAACTTTTGTAGACTTTTTTTGTAAACTTGGAATTAATATCTTCTGGACATATTTATCATCCGGTTCAATGTTTTCTTTGTAGTACAATGTAAGTAAATGTGTATTATTCAGCCTTTTGGTTCGTTCTGGAATTTCCAGGTAGGGTATAAACTCGGCGATGTTGTCGATAAGTCCACGCCACATACGTATAAACAAAACCACATCCCGGAAAATCAGTAATATTAATGGAATCGTTAGACACACTAGAAGATCAATGATTATCAGAAGCTGGTTGAATATTTCGTACGGTTTTACACAGTCTATCGTCACATTCAAGTGCTTGATCTCACAAAGGAATTCGTCGTTAAGAAACTCTGGTTCTATGGTATGGACGAGAAGTACACAGTGATAAGCAAACGATAAGGAAATGAACATCAAGAGTAGCCCTTTAAGGCTGAAATAGATCACCACGTACCAGTAATAGGCACTCCATTCGTTTATGTAGCTCTGTATTAGCGACTGAGCTTTCGATTGATTGATTGATGGCCAATCCTTACTACTCGTACTCGATTTGTTGTCTGTCTGATTCGGCGCTTCCGTTTCCAAACACAACTCCCGGCAAGACTTGGAAAACCACTTCGCTAACATTGATATTTTTTTGCCACCACAGGCTATCCACAGGAATATAGGGATTTGTGTTAAAACAGCTTGTATGATGAATGTGAAAGGTATGAATTCATGGTAACCGATTAAACTATCCTCTTCCTCGTAAATACAGTAAGAGTTGAAGTACTGAACAATCTCACTGTTGGATACGTATTCGGGTGGTGGGTAACATTTTGTATCATAGCCACCTGTGTGTTTGAAAACATTGAGTTTAGAGTCTTAGGCTATAATAATCTTCAATTATCAAAACCAAAATTGTATGCCAAAATCTGTATAATTGTTTTAAAGAATATAAATAATAAAATAATAATATATAGGCCTATTAATAATAGTAATATTTGTGTTAAGATAATTACAGTAACTATTAATATGGTATTAATAGGTCCATGATTCAAAACTGTCCCCAGAATATTTTATCATGCTTTCCCTTTTCTTGTCATTTAAATCAAGCACAACAATATTTACCGAAAAAATCACGCAATAACGCCAAGGCAGCTAGTATGATAGGCAGTCGTGACTGTACCAGATGGATGTTATAATCGAATGCCAGTAGTTGATGACTCTCGTCTGCAGTCATAAACGTCACTGATTGAACGACGCCTAACGCAACGGCCATTCTTACATCTACTGTCTTCTTTAATCGTACAGTAATCACAACCGTAATGTTCAGTTGAAACATTGCATAGGGTTTAAATAAGCATTTATGGTTCGCAAGAAGTGTGTGTTATGATTATTGCCATTGATTGTGCAGTGAAGTGCTGTTTAACGTCTGTGATTGGATACGATTTATTATAGAATACATTGTGATAGAGTGGGTACATTTCTCGTATCCCATAGGTCCTACGCTCTTTTTTTTAAATTCTCTTTTCTGTTTTGATACTGGTCACAGACTGTGTGGTGTACTGTATGCTAATTCCAAAGTTGATAGCTCCCGCGCTCACATCATGCAGGATTTGGCATGATTGGGCTGACTTGGCTGGGACTGATTTTTCCAAGGGTGGTTTCTTAACCCGTAAATTTAATTAGTTTAGTTGTGCATCATGTTTATCCCAAGTCAATGATGTTTATCCTTACAATTGCAATACCAGCAATTTCTTATATCACATTTAGTGCTTGTTTTTCGATTAAAAGATGAAAATAAATAACAATTTTCTTCGTTTGAATACCGTAGGCACCTGGTTATTAATTAATTTGTTTGAAGAGCCAAAATATTTTTAGAGTTGGTGTCACGGGCCAAAGATAATCTCCACTGAGTTGAAAGCAATCGTTAAAATTACCTGAGTGATTGATTTCTGGGGGACCGTCATCAGTGTAAAGTCGTTAGTGCAGTGTTGGACGATCGATTTATCAGTTTTCAGTTTCAGTTTTTATTGGCACACACTTTTACAACATTGGCACACACTATTCGGTGGTGCGTCCAGACTAACTAATCAAAAAAACAATACAGTAAAATTGAATACCAATAAGATTTATCACAATTAAAACTCCTAGGTTTAGGGTCATTGTACGCAATGTCTTTTGTATTCTTATGAGCACTGTTCTTATTACCGAGTTTTTATTAACCATGTAAAATTAAGAAACACAGTGAACGAAACAAAACAAAGAGACAAAACTTTTAGGGTCTAGGCACATTCGTTTTACCTGTAACGTTTGATAAATATTGTACGCAATATCCTTTTTAAACAGTGAACGGAACAAAACAAAGAGATAAAACTTTTAGGGTCTAGACACATTCATTTTACCTGTAACGAACGTTTGGTAAATATTGTACACAATGTCCTTTGTATTATTATGAGCACTGTTCTTATTACCGTGTTTTTATTAACCATGTAAAATTAAGTGCAAACACTATTGACGAAACACAGTGAACGGAACAAAACAAAGAGACAAAACTTTGCGGCACAAAGTCGGTTTATAGGCCTATATTATTATTTATGGCTTAGTAAAGCTTGCTCATTTTCTCCAATCTGCTTTTTCCGTAGAGTGGCTAGTCCACATGACTCAGGGAGTGCATTTTTGTCTTTAGTTTATAAAAAGTGTATTCACCGAATAATTATGTTAGCTTTGGTTGGTTGCTTTACCAATATAAATGATCATAATTATAAAGCCTAGGTTTAAATCTAGACGCATTAAAAAAAAAATACATTAACATTATTTTACCTGTAACGTTTGAAAAAATTTCCGCATTGTACTGTACGCCATGTCCTTTGTATTTTTATGAGCGCTGTTCATACACCAAGTTTTTAATAACTATGTAAAATTAAGTGCAAACACTATTGACGAAACACAGTTAACAGACAGAGGAACAAAACTTGGCACATAAAGTCTGTTTATATTTTTATGGTCTATAGTATAGCTTGGTCATTTGCTCCAAGCTTTTTCTCTCTAATATTGTTAGTGCAATTGAATCGAATTATTATAACGTTGAATCTGTTTTAATTATTTTTTTAGTAGGCCTATTTTGTATTTCTGGCGAGCCAAATTAAATTAATCTGCGGGCCAAATTTGGCCTGTGGGCCGCCTGTTTTAAAAGAACCAGGACCTAGGCCTAATCCTGACGATATTAAAAATAAGTAACTTAATGCTAAAGATTGAGAATAATAATGAACTTTTACGGAGTGACAATAAAATTTAACAACACACAAATCAGAATGGTTACAGTTTTACTTCATTCTCTTTCTCATTCGATGATCACCTTTCCATAGGCATATTTTTGTTTACACTCATAATTCAAAATCGTTTGTACGTTGTTTAATTTAAGTTCAGTTTAGAATTAATCCACTGGCAACAGATAAGACAATAGCTTTCAGTATCGGTGGTAAAATCGTTTGCGCATTATATTTAAAAAATATATATATATTAATTCAACCATGGTGCCTTACAGTGAAAAAAAAAAGAAATTAAAAAAAATAATACGAGTACAATTACAAATATATACATATTATATATACATATATACATATTATATATACATATATACATATTATATATAATATACTTATATATACATATATATGGTTATTCATGGTTGTTCATTCTAGATCTGAAAGAGACCAGTTTTGCCAACATAGTTTCCCTCGTATTTTTTGCAGTATATGAGGTATATAATATTGGGTGAGATACAATTGAGAACTGGTGGCCGGATTCTGTGTCCCTGGTTAAGTGAATGAGCTGTCTGCATTGATGATGTCGCATAATTGGCATCTGTTTCATTGTGTGTTGCCATGTATCGGTTTAGTGGAGGGGAGTTTAGATGAGGTTAAAGTGGACTTTAAATTAGAGGGTTGTCTACGTGCGAGTAGAGATGGATGTAAAATTAATTGTTTAATCGATGGGCCTTCTTGGAAGGAAAGGAAGTCTTTTTAAATTTTCTTAGACAGTTGTAGAATGTTGGGACTATAGTCGAACACCATAGGTAGCCGTAGGTAGTACAGTGCATCACCAACTTAATTTTCTGCATCAACTATTCGCATCTGTTTTAGCATTGTCGGTCGGTCAGTCCATCCATCTGTCTGTCGGTCTATCTATCATTCTCCATTCATCTGCTGTTGTGTAAATAGGCCTACCCCAACATTCTTCTCTGAGACATGCTCTCTCGACGATTACATTTTCCAAAACCATTCGTTTATCTTCGATTAAAAAAAGTGCCCCTTGAATTTCTAATTTTCCTTAAGTAGCCCTTCTAATTCATTGATTTCCATAAGCACCCCCACAATTTCCACTCTGTTTTCATAAACGCCCCGTTTGAATTTAGCTCCCCTCAAAAAGAGTCAAAAATATTTTAAGCGCCCGGGCGGTTATTCGCGCGAGTACGGTAACTAGCTCACTACTGCCTATTTTAATACACGGGGTGGGGATGGGGGTCCGAGTTCTTCTCTGGAAAATTTTGATTTCTAGATGGCGGGAAATGAGCCCGATCTCTGAGACGTGTCTTTTAATGACTTAAAAATTCAAGGCATGACGGTTTTCCGCTCTTCAAAACAGTCAGGTAAATGTTTCTGATTCTTATTAAATTGGCCTGTAGGCCTACCGTTATACATAGGGACTAGGCTACGTTTCATACATAGGCCTATTCTTTTTTTTTCAAAATCGATGAACCCAAAATACAAAGGTTTCCGACTTCTGATTTTCCAATTGTAACAAAAAAATTTTGTTAGACACCCATATAGGGTGTCTATAAAACAAAGCCTTAAATATTTCTTGATATTCCTCGTTTTATTCCGATAAAATAATTACTTGGCAACTGTTTTATGATGATTTTGAAATACTTTCAATAAGATAATTGAGAAATAATTGGAGGTCTTCGTTTTTCGGGTTTTTGGTCTTCGTTTTGTAGACACCCATATAGAGTGTCTATAAAACGAAGACCCTTGAACATTTCACAAACAGACGCCCAAAAAATTTCGTAAGTTTGATTTTGTGACAGCCTGGCGTATTATCATCAAAATGAAAGACAAAAAATAGGGGTCTTCGTTTTTGGGTAAGGGCCGATACGACCAGGCCGAATCAACCCAGGCCGAATCGACGAAGCCCAAGGTTTCGATGCTAATTTTGCAAACTAAAGAGGGGCGGGGGTCTTCAATTCCATCTCGAGATAAAGCCTACTGGGCTTCAATCAAGTTTCACGGTTTGTTGATTGAATCGGAGTGTAGAAGACGATCTGAAGTAAGGAAGGGTAGGCCTTATTCTAATATATAGGCCTAATACAACATGGGAATTGGTTTCCTGTATTTAGTTGTTGGAGAATTATTGGATGGCAGTCGTTATTCTCACTCTGCAAACCATTATTTTTTATATGGATTAATATTCACTTTGATCTGATATTAAAGTCAGGCTCCGGAGGGAAAAAATGTTTGATATGTTGTACAACTGATTTTTCTAAGACATAAAAGGCATATTTGACGAAAAATATTGGAACGGTTAAGGAGATACAGATTTTTGAATATTTAAAAACTGGGAAAAAAGGGGCTGACCACCCCTTTTTCCACCTATTCCACCTAGTTTTTAAATATTCAAAAACCTGTATCTCATTAACCGTTTCCGAATTTTTGGTCACATATGGTTTTTGTGTCTCCGGAAATTCAGTTGTACAACATACCTAAAAAGGTTTTTCCACCGGAGCCTGACTTTAATACATGTGGATCCTCGATTTGTTTGATTAGATGTCTGGATGAACAATCATACACTATCCAAAAAAAAAGTTAGATGAGAAATTGTGTGCGAGTCTGATAGACAATGATCAAATCGGATTCAATTAAAATTAACAACTGACCAATCAGAACAGCGCTAGGTATACACGCTTTCCTCACATACTCACGTGTTGTCACACAAACATACTTGTTTACGTACGTATACGCTATATTTTTTGTTGGATCTTAGCAACAATATCCAAAAGTCGGGGTTTATCATAAAGGTCTCGTTGTGCCGAAAGAGGTTATCTATCGCTGTTGACTGGAAATAAAAAAGAATCAATAAGCAAAATACCCAAAATCAATGTTGTTAGTAGTTCCTTATACATTTGTATTAACCACCCTTTTCCATGATGCCGTTTTTGTATTAAGTTTTCAACTTTATTTCACATATCATGAACACTGAATGTATTTTATAATTTGAGATTTGATTGATGTAGTGCCGGCTTGTGGTAATTACTCCTAGGGCCTGTAAAATTTATATCACTATGTAGGTCTATAAGCAGAAAGAACAAGCGAAAGTGGTACCTCCAGTTTTTCGTACAATACGGTAATACCAGCAATTTCTTCTAGCACCGAAAGGTCTACTGATTAATCTCAGATAAGATAGTATAATACATACTCCAAGTATCGAAATTAATTATGTCATCATCAGGAATGTCCTCCTAACACACTTCAGTGATTGTACAGCGATTGAAAGATGAACTTTAACAATTTGTTCATACTGTAATCCTGACGATATGCAATCTGCTCAAATACAGTATAGTAACTTTCTTGTGAAGATCCACTTGTGCTTATACACAGATAGAGTTTTTGAAATCTAATAATAAACCTTTCTGAAGTGTCAATACAAGTTAACTACTGACCAATCACAACAGGGCCAGGAATACCTGCAGGTCCCACAGAAGACCTAAGGGTTGGTACGGCGGGTTTACGAAAGGGCCAAATGCGGTGCCGGTGCGCAGAACCATTCACAATTATACTTGAAATTTCGAGGTAACACCAAAAATAAAAAGACAATACTATACTTTTTCTTTAAAAAGTATATTAAATTAAGATAGGCCTATTTATTTCTAACTATTGTGCGGTTATCAATCTTTTCCTCAATGATTTATAAAAGATAATTGTTTCATAATTCGTAATGATTATAAATAATGGCATTTGCAAAACTAATAACGGTAAAGTTATCAATGATCATACTTTTTAAATACTTGTTTCAATATAGTAGGCAGAGTTTAAGATTCATGGGATTTGTGTCAAACCAATATTGGTGATATAGAATATTTATAAGCTATTGATTTTGTTTACCAACATTTTGACAATATCGTCAATAATTGACCTTCGTTATGGGTCAATAATTTACCTTAGTTTTCCGAGTTCGTATAAAAAATCATGTGCAGATGTAAAATTTTCCCGCAATCACAATTGACTAAGGTTTGTAATGTCCTGTCAACAGCATGTTCAGGTCCTCTTTTAGGACTGTGTAGGCCCTACGGCTTATCCGGACTACATACGGTAGGTCCTTCAATAGCTTGTAGGTTGATGGTCCCATTGATGCTAAAAATAAAGTCGATTTCTTTTCATCTTTAATGTCAGTTGTGAGCAAAAATGCGTCCAGTCGATCAACATAATCCTCGAACTTTTCATTTGTTTCACTAAAGATATTCTACCGTAAATCGCCATCCTCGTCGTTAGGGTTCGATGTTAATCATGAGACAATAATAAACACACCAGTGAATTAATTATGCTCTAGTCTCAAAGTCTTTATTTCATATGTACAACATAAAAGGTAATCCAGTATCAGGGTATATAATATATGAATGTTTATTTACAGTGAATAATAGTTTCTTAACTAATACATACTTGTGCTACATAATTATATGCAGTTTCCAAGTATTGGCATAAGAGGTAAAGAACTCGTTGGTCATTCACCTGAAGTACTGACGACTTATACTGCAGTTACTATAGTCTATATATCAGGGGTGGATCCAGTACGGGGACCCACCCCTTCCCCCACGTTTTGCTACAAAATTTTAAAATTTCAAGGCATATATTGAAATTAGTGCTCCCACTTATCAATTCTGAATATGTTGTGACCCCCACCCCCGTTTGAAAAACTCTGGATCCGCCCCTGTATATGAAAACTTTAATTGCATGAATAGTCATGATAACTCGTTAGGCTTGATTTGGTTTGGGACGGTGGGTGGTGGGGTTCTTTTATAAACTCGTTTGGGCTTTCCAATCTCGTCTGTGCTTTTAGAACCCGTATCCTCTGTACATTCTTCCGCCGATTGTGGTTCATTCTTTTTTAACCACGGAATTAATATTTTCTGGACATATTTATCATCCAGTTCAATGTTTTCTTTGTAGTACAACGTAAGCAAATGTATATTATTCAGCCTTTTGCGTCTTTCTGGAATTTCCAGGAAGGGTGGTTTAGATGGACTTTCTTCTTGTAAGGGTATAAAATTGGGGATTTCGTACTTTCCTCCTATCAACGTTATAAACAAAATTATATCTCGTAAAAGCAGAAAAAATAATGGAATCGTTAGGCACATTAAAAGATTAATAATTATCAGAATCTGGTTAAATATTTCGTACGGTTTCACACAGTATATCGTCACATTCAAGTGCTTGATCTCACACAGGAATTCGTCGTTAAGAAACTCTGGTTTCATGGTATTGACGAGAAGTAAATAGTGAAAAATAAAACATCCTAAAATTATCCCATAGAGTATCACTTTAAGGATGAAATAAATCACCACGTACTTGTTAGAATCACTCCATTCAGTTATGTAGCTCTGTAGTATCGAGTAGACTTTTGGCCAATCCTTATTGCTTGCTTTGTTGTCTGTCTGATCATTGAACTGTTCCCTGGTCTGATGCAAAGCTTCCGCTTCTGAACACATATCCCGGCAACACTTTGAAAACCACTTCGCTACCATTGATATCTTTTTGCCACCACCGGCTATCCACAGGATTACAGGGATTTGTGTTAGAACAGCTTGTATGGTAAATGTGAAAGGTATGAATTCATGGTAACCGGTCAGGTTTTCGTTTTCCTCGTAAATACAGTAAGAGTTGAAGTACTCAACAACCTCAGATTCGGTGACGTATTCGGGTGGTGGGTAACATTTTGTACCATGGCCACCTATGTGGGTGAAAATAATAAGTTTAGTCTTTTTTAAAAGCCAAAATTGTAGGCCTATTATCAACTCTCCCCACAGACACAGAATATTATATACATTCTGCCCGTAACCAGGTTTATGGGAATGGGTCCTATAGGCCAAATTTCATTCAGAAATGTTTTTTTTAATAAACAAATTTACAATAAAATACTATGTAATAAACTGGTCAAAAAAGGTTGTGGTCAAACCCCCAAAACCCCCTGTTTACGTGCCCGCTTCCCTTGTCTTGTCATTTAAATTAAGCACAACAATATTTACCGAAAATATCACGCACTAACGCCAAGGCAGCTAGTAGGAGAGGAATTCGTAACTGTATCCAATGGATTGCATAATCGAATGCAAGTAGTTGTTTGCGCTGGTCTCCAGTAATATACGACACTGATTCAACAACACCTAATAACTGAAAGGACATTCTTACATTTATAGATCATGTACTTGTTTATATCGTAATCACAATTGTAATATGTGCGGTGGGAAACACTGCATAGGGTTATATAAACATTTATGATTCACAAGAAGTCAGTGTTCTGTGACTATTGTCATGGATTTCACAGTGGAGTGCTGTTTAACCAGGTTTAAAGTCTGTGATTGGATAAGATTTATTTGAGATTACATCGCTTTTTTATTCGATTATAGGACTTAATACTGGCTGGTGTACTGTGCCGTTAAAATGCTCGAACGTGCGCCGCGGCGCTTATAACATTTCGGAGGCTTCAGTGCGGCGCTTATCGAGAGCGGCGCTTATTTATTTATTCTTAACACTGTATTGTATTTAAAACCTTACTTCTCAAAGTGTTTCATTACACACAGGGTAATATTTATTCTCTCGATTAAGCGCCATTTAGCGAAAAAAAAAATCAGGTTTGGTGCGGCGCTTATTCGAGAGCGGCGCTGATTCGAGCATAAAGTTCATAGCTAGCTCCAATGCTCACATGCAGGATTTGGCATGATTGGGCTGACTTGTTCATTGTTGTTTTTTACAATTTTCCATAAGACCTTTTCTCAGGTTCTGAATTATTTTTTCGAATGTGGTTTAATAACCCGTATATTTAATTAGTTTAGTTATGCATCATGCGTACCCCAAGTCAAGGAAGTTTATCCTTACAATTGTAATACCAGCAATTTCTTATAGCACATCTAGTGCTTGTTTATCGATTCAAATATAATAAAGAACAATGTTGTTTGGTTAAATACCGTAGGACAAACGATATTCAATATGTTCATAGGAACTTACTTGTAAAGATTGGGAGTAATAATGAACTTTTACAGACGGTTTTTTTTTTTAACAACTGAACTATCAGAACAGGGCCAATTATGCGCGCATGTCCAACAAACACGTGCTGTCGTTTTGTCGGGACTCAGAGAAGGAAATTACTCAGGAATAATGGCTACAGTTTTGCTTTATTCACTTATTTATTTCATGACTAGGACTAAACTGGTATGGTTCTCAACATTTTTCAGATTAGTATGGTCTCTTTTTAAGTTGCTCACAATCTTTTGGTTTGTTAGGGGGCGACTGTGTACAGTCAGGTGGCCGAGTTTGTTAGGGGGCGAGTTTGTAGGGGGAAAGTTTGTTAGGGGGCGAGTTTGTTAAGGGGCAAGTTTGTAAGGAACGAGTTTGTAAGGGGACGAGATTGCAAGGGGCGAGTTTGCTAGGGGCCGAGTTGACTGGTTCCCCCTAGAAATGATGCTGTCTGAAGTGTCGACAAACACCTCGGCCACACCATGGTTGGAAGTTTTGAGAATATAGATGCCTGGAAATGGCAATCTCATAATATTTTTTAATGCTTTAAAGGCCTAAAAAACTCCTAAATGAGTCCTTTTGTTACTACCCACCTGCCGCATATAGAAGTATATCAATCCGTTGGGATAGATCTTTTTGATTGTGATAAATTAGTTTCGTGGTTACATTTTCCTCTTTAATAAAAATTAAAAATATCGAGAAGTGTTAATTTCTGATAGTCTCGGTCCAGTGGAAACTCGCGGTCGGTTTTTTGTACCGCGATCCGGGCTGATAATTATAGGCCTAACTAATGGTTGTACATTTCAATTAAATTACCAATTGCATTTTTTGTTTCCTGAGTTTTTAATTTGTGTTTATTACAGTGTGAATTTAAATACTAAACAACACTATGACAACACAGTCACGCGAGAAGTTTTGCTAACTTTATCAATATTGTGCATTCATGATTCTAGTTGACTTTATTTTTGCAAATAGTGCTATCAAAGTTGTAGATTTCTACGTAATCTGCGATTTCATTTACTTTGCAATCTATTTCGGCCTACTGTGTCAATATTATCAGCCTTCATATAAAATCAATTATTAATTTCAGATAGGCATAGTTTTGTTTACATGATTCCAAATTGTTTACACGTTGTCTACATTAAGTTCAATGAAGATCAATTTATCGGCAACAAATAAGACAACAGTTTTTATATCTGTTGTAAAATCATCTGCGTATAGTGAGAAGTGTGGGCCTACGGGTATAGATTTAGATTAGGAAATATCCGACAAATTGAACAGTTTTCCTATGCGAAGACCACATTTGGGATCAGTTGTACAAATATAATGGCGGATCCAGGGGGCCACGGCGGCCCTACCCCCACCCCCTCAGTCCCGCCGAAAAATAAAAAAATGAGAAGAGTTAGTTAAAGGGAAGAAAGAAAGAGGGGAAAAGGAAGTGTACCCACGAGTTCAGTGGCGGATCCAGCAGTGGGCGAAAGGAGAGCCCGGTTATGTTATCACTCACTAATTTTGAATTTTATTTTGATTGACGACAAAGACAACGCTATATCCCCGACGCCAATTTTTTCCAACGTTTTCATAAATCAGGATGTAAAAAAGGCCAGAAAACGGGCCACCGACCCCTAGGAGCCCTTTCGGTGCCCCTACTCATGAAGGTCCAGTAGGGTCCTCGCTCTATAGCACCCTGATCCAAAAGGGCTTTGTTGATACATAAAGCATAATGTGTTTATGACATCGATTGTAGGACATATATCATATTAATCTAGTGGGAGTGGAGTGCCCAGACGGCCATGACATTATGTAAACATTTTTGTTTAAATAGAGATAAAAATTATTCATATTTTAAGTCTGAATTATGAGTGCTATTTCCGGACATCTAGAGGTGCCATAATCATAACTTGCTTTGCGATTCCCCAGTATTATAGATTCTAAGTCATTGATTAGACCTTTTCGACGCCCGTGAGGGGAAGCATGTCTAAGGGAGGGGAGAGCATAGCTCCCGTTGGGACGACGAAGTCAATAATTAATTGTCGAGGAACACTGCTTTGAAAAAGCATTTTTACCTTCTGAGAGTGCCATTTCCGAGCGACTAGAGGGGCCTATTCTTGAAATTCTTGTTGGAGCTCAGGTTGATGTAGACTACCTATTGGCCCAACCCCACCCTTCCCCCACCCCCGTCAGAAAATTTCTGGATCCGTCCCTGATAATAATCACATCTACAATAAATAGGCATGTTTGTTTGACTGTGTGTTTGCATAGTATTTTTTACAGGTAACAGGTCGCACATGACATGGAGATGCAAAACCATATCTGACAACATTAACAGACAATCTATCGGTGCCAAATGAAAGGTACTAATTTAAAAATGCTATACTCATGATTAATAATAATACTGATAATAATTTAATCACTTATTAGGCTTTCTTCCAAAAGAGACCAAAGCGCCGTACACATTGATATTTTACTTTAATTTTGATATTAATGTGCGTTGCTTCATATATGCTTTTTTTAAATTATTATTAATGCGAACTTATTATTCAATAAAAGGCATAGTGTACTTGTAATATACAAACGTTTCAATAAAAAAGATAAAAATGTAAATAAATTCCTCGGGCTCATGCTTACCTTAAGCAAGGGCCAGCCATTAGGTAGCATGGCAAGGCACTGAAAAATACAATAAAATAAAAAGAAAATACAATAATAAAACATTACATAATACACCCATTAAAAAATATTGACAGATTTTATTGAATTTACAGTCTGTTAAAACAGTAACTCCGTGGAGGCATTATGCAACTGTAGGACTTTGACCAAAATTGCACAAGCCTGCCGTGAAGGTAATAAGAAAGTAAGGATTGTTTGTAAAGTCAACTATTATCATGCGTCAGTTCCATTATTTATTTCTACTAGATCTTTAAATATTTTTGACATTCATTGTAAATCCATCGCTATTTTTATGTTTCAATATGGCAACAATACTTTGCCACCAATTTTTATTTTTTATATTTTCAAAGAGTGAGTTATACCCATAATCATTTTACAAGAAGCAATGACCATTTTACAATACATTTTAGAAGAACTACTCTTGGATTAAAGCCCATACACAGGAGCCAAACTGTAGAATAATCTTCCTGTCTGTGTAAAACAAATACAAAAAAAGTATAACTAATTATTTCATTGCAAAAAATGTCTCAATAATTCATATTTAGGTCTATATTTCTGTTTTAAGTACTTATCTTGTAAATACAATATGTGATGTTTGTGTTTCTTTTTATATATTATTTATTAATTTATTTACTTATTTGTTATTTATTTTGTTATTTTTATTTATTTTATCTATTTTTTATAAGATAATCCTGTGTTTTCCTAAATTTTGATTATACTGTACCGTATGTATTAATGCTTTTACAAGGGTCTCAGCTTAAAAGCTTTGCTTTATTTGAGCTTCCTTTTCCATTGTTCTTGAATCTGTAATGTACATTTTGTTTGTTTTATTATGGAATAAAGTTTACCTTACTTACTTACTTTACTTACTTATTTATTTATTGTTTTTGTCATTTTGTCAAGACATGCCTGCCACACGCTTTTGCTTTTTTGTCTATGCCTTCTTCAAATCATTTACCTTGCTTTACATTGTACAGTTTTTTTTTTTCAATTTGAAGAAAATAAATGTTACTTTGATTGATTGATTGATGCGAAATAAAGAGCACCATTAGTTTGTTTAGGAAACTTGTAAAAAAACTGTATTAAATCAGAGAGGCATGATGGCTCTTAACTTGATTGGGTTTATTGTAATGGTGGGATAGGCCTATTTGTGGAGCGCCTCTTCAATAAGGCGCTGACAGTATTGAGATGACGAATCATATTAAAAAACAGAAAGCAAAATTGATAAAAATAAACAAACAAGCCGTAATGGAGTGAGATGGCGGCCAAAATGGCGTTAAAGAAACAGCGAGCACCAAGGAAATGTGCACTTCCGACGTTGAGACGACGTTGCCACCACAACCGTGTACACGTAGGTGTGCTGGACTCCAGTAGCTTCCACCTAGAATAAGTTCTGTGCACTGCATGGTGGTGACGGTGGCTCAAGTAAGGGAGTTGCGACTTCGTGAAAAGAAATTAAATATATCTTAAAAACTACAGTTAGTGTGAAATAAATGTACGTGAGAAAAGGAAGGATGTCAGTAGTTAA